GTAGGGTCTCGGGCCTTAACTTCGAAAGTTGAGGTTTAGGAAGAAATTTGGGCACGTGGTTCTGGAGTTAAGTTCGTCCATATGAAATATGAATGCTCGCCAAATTTGGTGTCAGTTAGACACCGGACAGACGCTCCATGACACCGTATGATCGTTCTCCAAAATCACGTCTACTCCACAGGAATTAGAAATGCCTTGAAGTGTATTAGGAGGCATGATGTCAACTCTCCACCACCCCTGGGCCCTATGGCCTATGCGAGCTATCATGTGGCACATGTGTGTGTCACAGTGAGGGGGAGCGTGCCGAGACGAGTGCCTCGAGGGAATTTCTTTGGAATGAGTTTTTAAAGACAATATCGGGCGACATGGGTATGCCGGTATTGTGCCCTAGCCTACGTGTCGAAGTTTGAATTATACACCCGCTATCTGACCGGTATTTGTAAATGACATGACATGGGCATGGGAGGGCCAATGCCTCGATAGAACTCAAATGGATGGATGTTCGGGATGTCTCGATGAGATAAGTGACACGTGGGATCGTTCTCGATGGCATGACTGAGTGAGTTGTGATGGCCAACGACACCTCGAAACTTGGGATGACATCAAGACATATGGGTCATGTCGATTGGGAACCAAGATGACGAGATGAGATGCGATGATGCATTGAGAGACTTTGGCCCCGAGTAGAGGCAAGGTCGAGTCAAATGACTTGGCCTAATGTAGAGGCAAGTCGATTGTGTCACAGACGATTGAACATGCACGAAAGGCGTGTGTAGTCGAACAAGCTTAGATTCCTCACCAATGATGTTTGGTTGGCGAAAACAAACCTCGTCCAAGATCCGATGAAACCACAAAGTCGGTGCAAAAAATATATATGGGGCTTAATTCCCCTTAAGGATGGTCGTGAGCATGTCAAGATCACGACGCCACAAGGTTGAAAAAGTACAACCGTGACACTCAGCGTCCTCGCTGGCACTCGTTTCCCTCTCCAATCGATGAGGGATCTCACAATTCACCCTTCGAGGCTCAGCGTCCTCGCTGACACTCGTTCCTCTCTCTAATCGATGTGAGATCTCACAATCCACCCCCTTTAGGGCCAGTGTCACGGTCCTACATTTTTTATCATGCGGCGTCGTGATCTTGACACGCTCACGACTAGCCTTGAGGGGAATTAAGCCCCATATATATTTTTCGCCCCGGCTTTGTGGCTTTGTCGGACCTTAGGCGAGGTTTGTCTTTGCCAATCGAACATTGCTTGTGCGGAATCTAAGCTTGTTCAATCACACGCGCCGCCTGCACGTGCATGTTCAATCGTCTGCGACACATCCGACTTGCCTCTACACTAGGCTAACTTATTCGGTTTGACCTTGCCTCTGCTCGGGTCAAGGTCTCTCAATACAACGTCGCATTTCATCTTGCCATCTTGATCTCCATCGACAGGATTCATATGTCTTGACGCCATCCCGAGTCTCGAGATGTCATCGGCCATCATAACTCATTCGGTCATGCCATCGAGAATGGGCCCGCGTGTTGCTCATCTCATCGGGACTTCCCGAACATCCATCCATTCGGGTTCTATCGAGGCATAGGCCCTCTCGTGCCCATGCCGAGTCATTTACGAATACCGTACCGGATAGCGGGTGTATGTAGCAACCTCCAACACGCGGGCTAGGGCACAATACCGGCACACCCGTGCCGCCCGGTACTATCCTCCAAAAACTCATTTCAAAGGAAGTCGCCCGAGACACTCATCTCGACACGCTCGCCCACACTATGACACACGTATGTGCCACAAGGTAGCTCACTTAGGCCACAGGGCCCAGGAGTGGTAGAGAGCTGACACCATGCTACCCCTATAGTACATTTTGAGCAATTTTCATTCTACCAGGTGTAGACATGATTTTGGTGAGGTGTCATACGGTGCCATGCATTGTCCGTCCAATGTCCGATTGACACCAAACTTGGCGAACATTCATATTTCATATGGAGGAACTCAACTCCTGAACTGCCCAAATTCCTTCCGAAACCCTGACTTTTGAGGTTAAAGCCTGAGGCCCTACCCGACCCTTCAACAAGCCTATCTTTGCCCTTCATGTCTATTCTGATGTCTTTGTCTTGCTTATGCTCAATATATCTTCAATGCCCACTTTGCGTGGTGGAGTGTTGGATGATGCATCGTCCTCCTCGATCGCATCATGACACTCTTCTATGTTGGCCCGCTTATGGCCGGATGGGCGTCTCTTGAGGCACGCCACTTTGCTTGTCATGGCGTGAGGGTCACAACCTACTCTCTTCATAGTATGGTTGTAACATTCCCCTCCACTTAACTTGGTCATCGTCTTCGATGACTTACTCGAGTCACAATCATATTGCAGATTGTGACACCGGTATTGAGCCTTAGACCGCGTGTTGGAGGTTGCTACATACACCCGCTATCCGGTACGGTATTCGTAAATGACTCGGCATGGGCACGAGAGGGCCTATGCCTCGATAGAACCCAGATGGATGGATGTTCGGGAAGTCCCGATGAGATGAGCAACACGCGGGCCCATTCTCGATGACATGACCGAATGAGTTATGATGGCCGATGACATCTCGAGACTCGGGATGGCGTCAAGACATATGAATCCTGTCGATGGAGATCAAGATGGCAAGATGAAATGCGACGTTGTATTGAGAGACCTTGGCCCGAGCAGAGGCAAGGTCAAACCGAATAAGTTAGCCTAGTGTAGAGGCAAGTCGGATGTGTCGCAGACGATTGAACATGCACGTGCAGGCGGCGCGTGTGATTGAACAAGCTTAGATTCCGCACAAGCAATGTTCGATTGGCGAAGACAAACCTCGCATAAGGTCCGACGAAGCCACAAAGCCGGGGCGAAAAATATATATGGGGCTTAATTCCCCTCAAGGCTAGTCGTGAGCGTGTCAAGATCACGACGCCGCATGATAAAAAATGTAGGACCGTGACACCCAGCATCATCACTGGAACTCGTTTCCCTCTCCAATCGTTTCTATTGTAATGTTCATACATCTAACGGAGTAAAATTATTAGCTAACCCTTCCAACTTTCTCAAATGAAAACTTATTCAAGCTCATATGTCGTGCCGAACTTTTATGGGAAATTTTCCTTTCTAAAAGTGGTCAATCCTTGAACAACATACCGAAGTCCACAAATTTAAAATTGGCAACACCTAATTAAAAATTATTGGAAAATTTCAACACCTAATAACGAAAACTCACAAATTTAAAATTCCCATCACCCAATTAAGAATGTTACCAAGAAATTTCTTGTAACGAGTGAAAAAAAAAAAAAAAAAAAAAAAAAAAAAAAAAAAAAAATGAGTTCNTAAATAAAAGAAAAGAAAAACCAAGCTCTTCCTACAACTTACAAATTGTTTGGTTTCCCACCGTATTATATTTCAACTTCACTAATTAAATAGTTTAACACAATATATATTCTTATATTTTCATTACTATAAATTTTCTTCTTAAATTATTAATTTTTCTACCTAATCGGTATTTAAATTATTAATTTTTGTATCTAATACACCATTTCTTTATTGGATATAATAATTGAATCAATTCAAATAAATTAAACAACCAATTCATTATTTCTTTCATAATATGGCTTCATACCTTTAAGCTTCCTATTAAATAATTTCTTAAATAATTTTACTACTTCTCATTTTTATTATATTTTTGAGCCGTGGATTTAATCGTCAATGTTGGAAGGGTAATTGATACCTTATTCATCGGATTATATATGAATTGACTACCTAATACGTTCTTAAAACCATACTTGTATACAATTTGAACCGGAGTCCCTACAAAACAAAAGATGATCAAATTGCTAATGGCACCCAATTGCTATACAAAAAAACAGAGGAAGGATCAAAGATAATCAAAGATAATCAAAGATAATCAAAGACTTGGACTTTTCCAAAGTCCACCATTGTGGTGAAGGGGGGCCCTCCTTTTAGGTCAGCTAATGGCATTATCACAATTGTTAGTTCTTTATTAATGAGGGGAAAGGATTGAAGAGGCTCAGCTTCTGGTTTTGTTGGGAAGGAAGTTCTTCCTGCTCTCTAAATTTGATGGGGAAGCTTTGTTGCTCTGCTGATGATGATGATGGATTGGATCTTATGGGAATCCTGATGGTTCTTGTTCTAGCGCTTACCCTCATGGTCGTCTGCCAGCCTCCACCGCGCCGAGCTTATATCGTGCATCGTTGGCCTTGAGATTCAAGGCCGATCGTCTCGAAGCTTCCGAGCTCGTTACTTGTATGCTATATTAAATCTTTCTTTCTTGATTGCAATTTGTTGGGTAGTCTCAATTTTCTTCAGAAACCAATTCTTAGATGTTGGATTGTTTCATTCAAAACATATCCATTCCAATTCTAATAAAATCTTCTCATCATGCTGAATTCTGTGATACTTTGGTGTTGTTGGCTAACAGCTTAGACGCTGACTTTTTTCATCCATAATATGCCCATTTCAACTCTCCTGGAGTACTTGATAGCACAAAGTCATCCATATTCTGTATATGCGTGTATATCTATTTATATATGTAAGAAAGAAAGAGTACTTGTTAATCGAGTGATGTGGGATCTGTGAACGAGGGGAACAAAACATTCCTCATAAGGGTGTAGAAATCTCTCCCTAATAGATGCGTTTTACAATTGTAAAGCCGATGTGATACGTAACGGGTCAAAGCGGACAATATCCACTAATGGTGAGTTTGAGCTGTTGCAAATGGTATCAGAGCTAGACATCGAACGGTGGCCAATAGGAACACTGACCCCTAAGGAGTGAATTGTGAGATCCCACATCGGTTGAAGAGGGGAAGAAACATTTCCTTATAAGGGTGTGGAAACCTCTCCCTAGCAGACACGTAACAGGCTAAAATAGACAATATCTACTGGCCGTGGACTTTGGCTGTTACATGGACCATTCAACTAAAAGTTTTAGTGCTAAGAAACTTGCATCCAAGCACTTACAAAGGGACGGCAATACAATAGTATAACGCATATGGATCATTTAGATAATGTAATGAAGTAAACTAAAAGGCATAAGGAAATATACATCCTAAAGCAGACAAAAGCCTTTTCCACAAAGTCCAGTCAAAACAACCGAAGGCCTCTTCATTGGTTCATTGAGGCTCCAATAGTTTTCAAAAGATGCTCAATTCGGTACTTCATAACTGGCTGACCTTTTTGCGTCCTCTTGAGCATTTTTTCTCTCGTGGCATTTCGTCTAGCTTTAGCCCTTTCTTGTTCCTCCTTTTTTGCAGCGATAATAGCTTCTTTCTCCATTCTTGCTTTCTCTTTCTCTTGATGCTTTCTCTCATACAGTTCCTGGAGACTAGGTATGCCTTTATTCCTTTCTTTCCCACGTCTACTGTTCGTCTGATTCTCCAATTTCGTTCCATTTTCACCCTTTAAGAACCAGCAAGAAAGCGAGTCCGTTAATAGCTCAAGCAGCACATTCTATACACAGAAGATTCTTATCATAACAGGAAGGGAATGAAACAGATGCCGGTTGGTTTCGATGTCTCTCTCTCCAAATCTCAATCAACAAGTAGTCATAGAAAGCGGTATTCATAGGTTGGGTTGGACGGGATAGAGAATATCTTTTAGGTCCAACGCAACGATTCGAGATTAGTAAGTCACACTATATTCAACTACGAGAGATATCTCAAGTCTCCTGATAAGCTTAAATCAAGAGGCAACCAAAAAGAATAAACTAAATGAAGCAGGTGCATTAAATAAATCAATAAATAATAGGTTTAAAAAAATATAATTTTAAATTGTGAAAAACATTAACAAAATCATTTAATATGTAAATAAAAATCATTTTAAATAATGAATAAAGGTAAAGATATTTTAGAAAAATAAAAAATAAAAGGGCTGAAGGAGAAAAATTAAATGCAACAAGCAATAGCTGCATGTTCTTAAACGCCATAGCATGGCAGTTGGAATTTCAATAATTATTGTGCTTCTCTTCCGACCTGCCTTCTTCTTCCCCCTTCTTATTTTTCTCTGCCCATAAGGTGAGACAACCTTTAATGTTCTTTGGGCTGCCAAAGATTTATTATTACTGGAAAAAGTCCATTAAGGCAGCCATCAACATGGTACTCACCTTGCCTTTTGGTGATGGTGCACCATGGCCTCATGTTCACTTCAAGAACCTCGCCATTAGGTGGTAAGGGCCGTTAAGGAAAAAATTGTTAAAGCACCACCACCACAATGTGACTGTTTTTCATCGCATAGTTGCTACAGTTAGTGAGCACTCTAATAACTACAAGTGCTGCCTCCCCGAGTATTTTTAAAAGTTGTTGAAGAATAAGTATATTTTAAATTAATAATAAACTTCGGTTGATTGGATTCGACTAAACTAAATTGAAGCAAACCCATAAACCAGTCCAACCTATACGTTTAATTACCGAACTCAACTCAAACATAATATAACTCGACTAAAAAACTGTAAGGGTAGGGTTCATTGAGTTTTCCGAATACCTAAAGTGACAGGCACTTCAACAAACAAAAGGAAACAAAGCTCCACTCTCTCTCTCGATAATAAGAAGTGAATGAAACGGATGGGCGTTGGGTTCAATGTCTACCTAAATCACAATAAACAAATAGTGACAGAGGCACCTAAAGTAACTTCAACAAACAAAAAGAAACAAGGTTCCTCTCTGCCTCTCTGAATAACAAGAATGAAATGAAATAGATGCCCATTGGGTTGATTGCTTATCCAAATCACAACCAACAAATATTGACCGAAAATAACTTCAATAACCAAAATGAAATAAAGCTCTCATCACTCTCTCTTTGTAGGAAAACTTGCTAACAGATCATCTTATCTTATGCAATATTTTGCAATACCATTTTCTCATTCGACATAAATAAAGGCATCTCAAGAGTCTCAAAACTCACCAAGCATTGAAGGCAAATTAACATAATTGAACTTTTATGCGATATTTGATACTCATAAAACAGGTCATACCTCGACAAGTCCAGCAGTAGAGCTAGAGGGCCTCTCATTGTGGTGATTCTGATGCTTTACTAACTTCTTATACTTGCTGACATGTTTAGCATTCTTATAGAACTCTCTTTGCTTTTCTGAACACAAATACATAAACGAGAATCAATCACGACCATAAACAAAGACCATCCAATATCCAATTTCCTAAAGCAAACCATTAAACCAGTTTTTGCAATGTAATTCCCCAATTCGAAACACGAAATCAAACACCGGCGAATACGAATTTCTCTCTACAAATTCCATTCTCCAACAAAAACAGTGATTTTGCAACAACATTTCGAGGTCCATAACAGCTAAACAAAAATTCAAAACCTAGATTTCACAGAACTATCAACAAGTGAGCAGCAAACTTAAGGCGATGATAATAACAAAAAGAAGTAAACGCAACCAAGATTGAGAAGTATCATACTTATTAAAGCTGGGTTATAGTAGTCGGTAGTTGATTTCACATTGGCAAACGCCTCAAGCGAATGGCCCTTCCCTCCCAACCGTTTCATGTTTTTGTGTTTCCTGCTCATCATGAATGCCGATTTTGGGCGATCCTGAACTTCATCTTCTCCGGTGCGCTTCTTCATTGTCGTAAAAAGCACAAAATTTACGGGCAGATTGAATGAAATTGAAAGCAATTAGGGCAAAACGGAGAAGGAAAGCTACACAGATGGTAAGACGAGGAAATAAATTATTTTTTAATATCCAATAAAAATGCAAAAACGTTTCAAATTATTATTGACGTCATTATTGGATTAGGAATTTTTTTCTCTCTATATATACATTAAAAAAATATTAATTTCATGAAATAATTTTTATTTTTCAATATAATTTTTAGTAAAATATAGAACAAAAATATAATATAGGAACGAAAAATATAATCTCATATCCAACTCTTCTTGGCTTCTGAATTTCTTCGTTTTTAATATTTTAGTATCCGACAAAAATTCAAATAATATCGAAAAAAATAGCATTTGATGCTTCGTCTACTGCTCGAAGGTCAACCTCGGGGTGAAACTCCCCTCAGCCCTCTACATTTTGCTGAACTGTATGTGGTGCAGTTAGGTTACGTAGGAAAGATGATGTCTCATCTGGGTTGCCATAATAATTATTAATCGACAACTCACTCCATGAGAACTCACTAGATATGTCGGATGGTGATGGCAAAGGAAGCCCCTTTCTTATTCCCACACTCGAGACTAGCGGGAATAAAGGGTCAAAACTATCGAACAAAATTTTAATAGATTAGACATGGTGTCATGTCACCATGCCTTCCAAGGCATGTTCCAAAGCCATCTTATTTATTAAACCACAACCACTAAAATTGAAGAGAAAATTTAATTTTAGGAACAAAGAATCAATGGGTTGGTGAGAAAATAATTTACCAAAAGAATTTAATAATGATTTGCAACAAAAAAAAATTAAAAATAGAATAAATATATGTACATATCTTAAACTTAACAATAAACGGTTCGGTTTAACTCAATTTAGTTTTAGGGGAACACGTGAACCAACACAAACTATAAATTTGTCATTTATTCAAACTTAACCCAATCCAATCAGGTTGAATTGGGTTGATCGAACCATCTAATTTTTTGAACACTCGTACTGCTAATTAAATATATATTGATAAGTAACCATTTAATGAGTCCATAGTACACCAGACATGGTCCACAATAATAATGATACATTTTTTTTACGTGGCTATATACGAATAGTCATATCATATAAAATAAGGTAATAAATGGAGATTTAAAAAAGTTATAATAAGTGAAAAATAATTTTAAACTATAAAATATCATTTTCATTCACGAAAAATATTAAATATCTTGCATACGACGCTCTATCTGTCTTACAAAAAAAAATATTCGAGAACACCTATTATAATATTAAATAAATACTTTTAGATGTAAAAGAAGGAAAATTCTCAAATATTTTTTAAATACTTAATTTTTTTTATTTTATATATAATAAATTTATGAATTTAAATATTAATATTTTTAAAATTTGTAGATTAAAACTAAAATATTAAATTAAAATTTCATAAATTTATTATATGGTATTAAAAATTAAATAATAAATTAAAAAGGGTCTGAGGACACTAAATTTGTAAATAAATAATAATAAATAGTTCCAACTGCTTGGCATTTATTTCTGTTTGTGAGGAATTAAATTTTTGCCCCAACTCCCTGATTTTCTAACCAAACACACTTCCCTCCTTTGAATTCCTTTTTGTTCACTCCAAATGCTCTGTTTCGGCCTGAAAAGCTCTCGTTTCTTCTTGCTGAAAGAATGCAGCTGAAGCCAGCAGCTACGGCCATGGATGGCGATGGTGATGGCGTGAGAAGCCATGTCAAAGTTATCGAGAGCGCTAGAAGAAGACTGCGATGGCCCTTTGATGGGGTCGTGAGGTTTTTGGGTCTGGCTTTTACTTTAGTTGCTGCTGTTGTTGTGGGTGTTGATAATGAGTCCAAGATTCTCTCTGTTACTATCACCAAGAGCTTGCCTCCTATCCATTTTTATGCTTCGGCTAAGTGGCAGTACATGTCTGCTTTTAAGTACGTTTTCCTTGTTTCTCTCTTGTTTGTGATGTTTTGAGATGCCTTCTTGTTGTTCGATGAAATGCCTCTATGAAAGTTTTTAGTGTTTTGAATCAATTATTGCTGAGTTATACTTAGTTTGTTCTGATCCCGGTTGAGCCTTGTGATTTTCTTCTACCCTCTACGACATAATGGGTTCTTGTTGCGTTGTTTGGTTTGTAGTTTTAAGTTCGTAACATTCTTCTAAGAATGGTACTTACCTACTTGTCTCGTAGGTGGAAAACTCGTGTTGACCATTGTTGTAAAATTATATATTAAGAGTCTGTTTGGAATGACTTTTTAAGTGTTAAAAATATATACATTATGTTTCGTTTTCCTTCCCAACCAATGTGGAATCTAACACATACTCTATATCTTATATGGCTTTTTAATGCTTTGGAACCGTTTTCTTTTCACTTTCGTTTTGTTTTTGGTCTAAGTGTTCATTATTTCCTTCAACATGCCCTCTTCAAATGCCTACACTACAATATATTGTTTGATTCAACCTCATTTATGTTCCAAAACTTCTTTTCTTTTTGTTTTTCGATCTTTTTTGTGGTTGAACCTCTAATTTTCTTTCGCTTAGGTACTTTGTGGTGTCGAACTGCATAGCGTGTGCTTATGCTGCAGTATCCTTGGTGTACTCGGTTAAGACTCGAGGTCAAAAAGACGATCCAATGAGGTCATTGTTGCTCATATCTTTTGACCTGATTATGGTGGGGCTATTGTTCTCTGCCGATGGTGCTGCTGCAGCCATCGGAGTCATCGGTCGAGATGGGAACTCACATATGCATTGGATAAAAGTCTGCGGTTTCTTTGAAGGTTACTGTCACCACTTCACAGCTGCACTTGTCATCTCCATTGCTGGTTCTGTCATGTTTCTTTGCTTGGTTGTGCTTTCTGTTCTGAATCTTCACAAGAAATGAAATTAGGAGATTGAATGTTTTAGTTTGTTGGTTGGGAGTTACTAGATTTGGCTTCAACCTAGAGTTAGTATGGATTGAAGTAAATATGCTCCTTTCGACTCGTTTGCACATTTCATCAACTCGTGCAATGCTTATGATAACATATTAGAAATCATAATGAGATTTGTTACATGAGATTTTTGTTGAAATTTTTCGTATTCAATATAAATAAATAAACAATAGATACATGTTGATAAACCATTAACTTGAGCACAAACCTAGTATTAAATACTATGAAGACGGTTTTTCTTTGTGTGGAAGAACAATTCTTTTTGGTTAGGTTTTAGATGATACTAATAAAGGGTAAGACAAGCATAAAAGTATCATATACTTCAAATAGTCATTAGATCTAATCCGAATTCTCTTTTAATTCGCATTCGACTAGAGTTTTGTGTTCAGTTTTATGAACGCACTACAACGGAATATGATTCTCATTCAAACCTTATAACCATTAATAGCAACCAATTACACATGGAAATAATAGGTATCTGGAGTTTATTTACTTGGGAGAATACAAAATAGGTTGAAGAACATCTATTCCAAGTTAATGACGTGCTAGTTCAAATATAGCTCAATAGAAAACACATCAATTGTCATGTCGATGATTTGATTTCCCATCTTCAAAAGGGATGGAAACTCTCTTTCGTTCTATTACCTAGTCAAAATGATAACGAACTTCCACTCCTCACGTATCCCCTCGTATACAAGGCATGTATGCAACTAATTATTGGTAGTACATCGTCCTACTTTACCCTTACCTACCATAAATTCTGACAGCCAGAGACCCAACAAAATTATTTAATATCAAACTAAATCATGGCATGGTTGCTAGAATTTAACTTTGATTGTATAGTGTTCGAGCAGTTCACCATCCATCTCCTCAACTATATCCTCTTTAATGGAAATCATCATTCATTTATCTATCTCTTGTTATACTTGAAATCCAAGTACTCAAACAAGTATTTGTTGAGATTCATGTTATATTCACATCTGTAAAATGTATCTAATATGATATATATTTTTCAAGATGAATGCTAAATGTTACAATGAAAAAAAAAAAAATCTGAGGCTCTTCCTATAGAAGATCGCACTGCTTAACTCCATGTGACTGAATTCATAGGCATAAACCAATCATAGTTGACTTCCTAAATGGATCAATGACTCCAATAATCAAACGTTCAACATAACCTAGTTGTTGAGATTAAGAGAGCTCCATACTTCTTTACCTTCAGTTTTCATTGACGTCTCCAGTAGAAATCCTCCTAGTATTGAATGAATTGCACTGACTGCACTTGTGTCCCAAAATGTGAAAACGAACTTTGCTCGTATGGCTGCAGTCGTTGCAAAGAATTGATACCTGTTTAGCCAAGTACACAGTTAAGTTAGAAGATTTCATTCTTGCGGTAATCTAAACATGTATACAAGCAACTACCTCGTGGCTGTACTCCTCCGGCATCGGTGTGCAGTCAATCTAGATAAGATAGAAACGATTTTCAAATTTAAGATAATATCGCAAAAGATCTATGGTAAAGAAAACATAATTAAGATAACCAAAAATCTCTGGAATTTCGACACCAGAATATGGCAGAAGAAACATGTCAGAATTTGCAAATAGATAGAAATACCACTTGGAATACCAAAAAGTAAGCATCCAATAAGATCTATTTTACCATCCAATAACAACTTGATAACAGGTAATGGGTAAATGGGAAATGAGGGAAAAATAAAAATAAGAGAAAATTTTATTCAAGTGGACGAACATGATTTAAGGTCGTATAAGATCAAGTCAAGTACTTGTCTGTAACAGAATATATATAGCTCTCACGGACATCTTCCTCTTTCATTTTTATTATATATGTTAATGCCTCTATATCCCTCTAAACTCAACTTTAAGGCATAACTAAAGCCCTGAATCCACACTCATTTCTTAAATCTCTTTCTTCATGCAATCACTCAGTTAGAATTCTATTGAGATATTGAGTCTGCAACCATCAACTTTCAAAGAATCAGCCCAATACATGTAATCATACATCAAGACAAAGAAAGAAACGAAAAGATCGGTCAGGAGGTTGAAGAGTGGGTACAATGTTCAATGATAAGATATATATTCTAATTTCTAAGGTTGCTAA